CCCATGGGGCACGTGCGGCGGAGATGATGGGGTCCACGGTGTGGCGGCAGTGGTGGCGGTGGCGGTGGCGGTGTGGAACCCCGGAAGGGGAGAGAGGGAGGAGGGGGAGAGTAGTAGGAGGAGGAGCAGGGGGAGGAGGGGGAGGAGCGTTAACGACTGGTAGAGGAAACCGAACGATGGCAGCAGTGGTAGGGATACACAACCCGCGACGGGACCGGGGATGAATTAGGGGTTTAGGAGAGGAGGAAGGACGGCCGAGTGCAGATACTCAGGCGGTTTCCAGACCCCCTCCCCCCCTCCCGGCTGCCCGCCTCGGTCTCACCGGTGCATCATCTTGATCAGGTCGGGTGTACGGAACTTGATCTCGCACACACCCTCCGGCTCCAGCACACCCCCCCGCGCTGAGGGGTCCGCGAACACCTCCACCGCGGCCGCATTGATCTGACTGTCCACCACCACCCAGGCACCCCCCCTGCGATAACACCATGTGGTGTATGGTGGTGGTGTGGGGGGGGGGACGTCACACATGAGGTCAACTATCGGAAAGCAGCAAAGGGCAGCAGTAGCAGTAGCAGTAGCTGTACCCTAAAACCCAAAGTCAAGCCTGAAACCCTAACAACCTAACAACTTTAACAATCCTAAAACCGTAGCCGTAGCTGTGCTCCTAATACCCCCCCCACCCCCCCCCACCTGAGCTCAGCCCCGGCAGGTATGTACACAAAGACCGGGTGGCGGTAGGTGCGCAGTCGCTCGACTATGAGACTGCCGGCCTACATGGGGGGGAGGGGGCCCGTGTGTGTGTGTGTGTGTGTGTGTGTGTGTGCCAGAGGGCCACGAGCGGGAGGGGGGAAATGCGGGGGGGATAACGAAGTACACGACTTTTTTACTTCACACCGAAGCCAGAAGCTCCTAGCAGTCAGTCGCCAGCGACCTGCGGTAGAGTTATCTTCCAGTGTGTGAAACTGTGGACGGACGTAGCTGCTGGAATTTGAACTTGAATTTGAACATGAATTTGAATTTGAACCGCGTAGAAGTAAACGACGGCGGAGCTGTAGTTCAGCGAGGGCCGACTAGGTGGTGGTGGTGGTGGGCGGTTAGTTAACTACTAAGCAGACAACAAGAGGGCACCTAGACTTGTCCCGACCGGATAGGACCTAGTAAGCCGCCCATACCTACCTACCCACCTTCAGCAGCACACCGTACACATTACCATAGCCATACAACCCCCCTGCTCCCCCCTCCTTCACCCCCCTCCCCCCCCCCACACACACACACACTACCTGCAGCACCCCGTCGAACAAATCCCTCATGCCGCCACTGAAGCCCCGCCAGTTAGCCAGGATGAAGAGCGGCAGCCCCTC